TAGGTATGGGTCTAGTTTTAATCTTTGGCAGGTTGAAATCCAGTTTTTCCAACACCATTTATTAAATAGGCTATCTTTCCTCCAATGAGGGTGGTTGTCAACAGTGTCATGTTTAAATCAAACTCCTCTACACTTCCTAGCATGGCTTGGAGAAAATCACTTAACTTTTCATGCTTTCATTTCTTCATCTGTAAAATGACAGCAACTCTTACCTCATCAGGATCTTCTTGTGAAGATTTAATGAGCTGATATATGTAAAGCAGAGTATGTTCCATTTAAGTATTTGCTCTTATGTCCAACACTGCCAATCTGTTTGGAGATCCAAATGGTCCTGGACGATGCCTAGTGGCTACCACTAGGTCACATGCCACCCTCTCCCCTGCTCCAAGTATAGCACATGATCTGGATGAAACCACTGGGCACTTTCCCCTCATGACTGCTTCCAGGTAGGCACATGCTACAAGCAGAGCCAGTCACAAAATATTTCAGAGTTTGGCTGAAAAGTCTGGGACAAGGCCACTGTCTCCTCCTAGCATATGCACAAGCCCAGAAGATGATAGCATATTGGGACCAAAGCAGTGCTGACCTCACAAGAGGGACAGAGTAGTGAGGTAGAAACTGGGTCTTTGTTGCCACTGCATGGTTTCTGAGTAAAAACTCACCTACACTGTTCACCTGAGCCCACTGTTATTCAGGTCAACTTGAGTTGGTTGTTCTGTTATTCTAACCCAGTCTCCTAACACACAAAATGGGTCCTGGAATGGCAGGAGGCTCTTGGGAGCCATGACAGTCTGGTGCCGAGGGAGGCTAGCTGTGAGAGGGAGTATGGAGCGCAGGCCATGGGTTAATGATTCCTGTTGGGATCACTGGCCAAGGAAGGGAGATGTGTACAGGACTGAATGAGGGAGAAGTCGAGCTGCAGTGCAGGCCACAGACAGCTACAGCCAATGCCCAGGGAGTCCTGGGGCCAGAAGGCCCTTCAAAGTGGTTCCAAGTTGGACCAAGATGTCTGGGCCTTCGCCTGTCACATGGTTGTTGAATATAAGGAGCCAGACCTCGGATGAGTGGCTCCCTATGGCTGAGGCAACCTCTGTAGGAGACCTGTCAATAACAGTGCCCTCAAGTCCTTGCTTTAAGGGCACCTGGGCAGTGAAGGTCTGCAATGTGGAGCTGGGTGTAACTTCCCCTGCAGCAGGAGGAAACCATGGAGACTTGGTTGGAGGACCGTCCAGCACCTCTTCTGAGGAAGGTCAGGCCCCAGATGCAGTCAGCACAACCCATTCCTACCACATCTCCTGCAGGCCTAGCTGGGGACCCCATACACCAGCACAAACCTAGTGCAAATCCAGCTTTATTCAAAAAAAAGAAAGACATATTTAATGGAATTCCCTCCTTGCCAAAGGAGCAGCACCAATGGGAAAGAAAGAAAGAGAATAAACGCTATAGACATGAAGGAGAGGGGCTGCAAACCAGGGTCTGGATGGAGACACAGTCTTGGAAGTAAACCAAGGGCTCCGGGTGCTAGGGAGACAGCAGGGAGAGCAGGGTGGCTGGCCCATGGCACAGTCATCTAGAAAGGGAGCAGCTCCTCCACAGGGATGTTGAGGATGATGTCCATGTCTGGGGTGCACCTGGTGGGAAGCAGCAGAGGAGTGTGAAGGGTCAAGAGGGGTGCCAGAGCTAAGGGGTAAGGGGTACACCCCCAGGGGAGCCCTGTTCTTTAGAACACTGGAGCCAACTGGAGGGCCCATCCCAAAACAAAACCTGAGACCAACTATGCATCCATACATGGGTAAGTGTGTGCTTGTGTGCACACATACACACGTGCAGAACATCAGAAGTGGAAATGAATTTGGCAGGAGTGATGTTCCCCTAAAAAGGGCTGAGACCCCTCAGGACAATCACCCTCTTTGGAGTTGGCACAAGCACTACATGTTGAGCAAGTTACTTCTCTCTGACCCTCACACCTCCAGTTGGCACCTATGTGGCAGTACTATGTGTCAGGCTACAGGTCAGCCTGTTTCCTCTTCTGTTGAATGAGTGCATGATCTCAAATCCAGCCACTGGTAGGAGGGGCCCATGAGACATACATCATCTGCCAGCCTGTTACCAGTGCTCAGAAGATGACAGGCATTAGTCTTCCCAGGAAAGGAGCAGGAGATGCATTCCCTCAGCAACGAAGTCCCCAATCTCAGTGACCAGCACAGGCAGGCAAGAAGCTCTAGGATTATATTCTCCCTCCACTGTTCAATCTTTTTTGTTTGCTTTATTTTTGAGACAAGATCTCACTATGCAGTTTAGGCTGGCCTTGAACTCACTATATAGGCCAAGCCGGCCTTGAATTCACAGAGACTCTCCTGCCTCAGTGTCCCAAGTGCTGGGATTACAGGAGTGTGCCACCACACCTGGCCTCGAAAGTTTTCATAACAATTTTTAAAAGCTACATCTGGGCCCAGGATTTAGCTCAGTGGTGCTGCCACCTGCTTCGCAAGCGCAAGGTCCCAAGTTTGATCCCCAGTACCAAAAAAAAATGCTACATCTATACTGGCAACACTCAAATTTCTATCTCCTGTCCATCTCTGTCCTTTGAGGTCTACACTTAACTACTTGATGGCTGCACATGGATGCACCATGTAAAACACACACACCACCCAAGACAAGTCTTGGCTGCATCTACACATACCTCCCTCACCCAGCCCCAGTCTTCCCTACCTCTGGATTTGGCACCAGACCCACTCTGTTCCAGAAGCCAGGAAATAGGGGCTGTCTTTGGAGCCTCTCTCTCTGTCCCCTCAACATCCAAATATCTCCAAGCCTTACAGATGTCCCCCTTTAATATTTCTCCAGCCTGTCTAGTCCTCCCATCTCTTCAGCCACACACTTGGCCAGGCTCCTCTGGACCATCACACCCGACTAGACTTCAAGCTCCCACTCTTTCCAATCTCATCTCCACTCTGCTTTCAAAATGATTTTTTGGATACAAATCTGATCATGGCACCACTCAACTTTAAATCCTTTGCTTTTAGGGTGAGGTATAAAACCATGGCCTGCAGCACACCCCAGAGGCCCCTGGGGGCTGAGCTGCCTGCTCCTTTGCACCCACCACTCTCCCCACCACTCCGATTTCCTCCCCACCTGTCCTTACCTCGCTGCTCACCGTGTGGCCCACAGAGCAGCCCAGCACCCAAGAACTTGTCAGGGAAGCAGCACCATGAGACCCTCTGCACACCAACTGTTTGGAATCTGCTACTTAACACATTCCATGCAATCTCCACGTGATTGTTCTGCATGTTCTAACTGGAGCAGCTCTGCCCAGCAGCCTTCTCTGTCCTTTGAGATTTACACTTAACTACTTGATGGCTGTGCGTGGATGTCCACTTTGGCACGGACCACAGCTTCCTGTGCGTGGGACACCCTTCCTTGCACAAGGGCATCAGTGAGATTGCTGCTCCTGGCCTCTCTGCGCCTCTCTGCTCCTATGAAGGGGTGGACTACCTGAATGGTGAGTCTGGAGAGGAGGGCCCTTGGAAGCCCAGTCCCTCATCTTAGCCACAAGCCCCCCACAAGGACCACACTCTCCTCTGCTCCAAGGGCCAGACTCCAGATCCACCATGACTGGGTGGTTCAATCTGCCTAATTGTGGGTTTGGTGTTAGGAAGCCAGGATGTCTGCAGACATAAGCCACATTCTCTCAAGTGAACTTTAGCACAGTAAGAGTGGTAATCTAGCCCACACTGGGCTCACCTCTTTCAGTCTTATTTCAATATGTTTAGAATCCAGGTGAAGGCAATGGGTGTCAACTTACAATATCCCCAGGAAACCTGGCACAGCTACCTGGCATCGCTCTCCCTTCAGCTTCTCTCCAGCATCTTTGCCTAGTGAGCTGCTACACCACATCCTCAGGGAAACCTTGATGGCCCCAGATCCACTGCCCTGGGACACACTCTCCCAGCACCACAGGCCTCTCCTCCCTCAGCAGTTCCTGGCTCAGCCCCAACTTGATATTTGTGTCTTATTGTCCACTAAGTTCTGATTCACACCTTGGCTCCATGGCGGCAAGGACAGGTTTGCTATCCTTTACATGGTTGCCAGCACTTCATAATTGAACAGTGTTACTTTTTAAGAAAGTGAAGAGAGGGAGGTAGAAGAAAGGGAAGGGATGGGAGGAGGCAGGCAGAGACAAAGAGGAAAGTCAATAATTTACAAATGCCAGGCTCTGTCATACAGGAATCTGTGGCGCCTCATGCAGAGGCCTGGCCTGGGGATCCCCAGCCCAACCACAAAGGGCTTGATCCAAGGAAGGGAAGGCAAAGAACTAGTTTGGGATTTTGTTTGGTTTGTTTTTGTTTTTGTTTTTGTTGGGAAGAAAAAGGGGGTTGAGTCAAGGTAGTCTGGGTCAGGCTTGAACTCACTTTGTAGCCCTGGCTACCCTCAAACTCACAGTACTCCTTCCTGCCTCAGTTTCCTGAGTGCTGGGATTACAGTCATGCAGCAACACACCTGGCTGAGAATTGATTTCAGAAGGAAAGAACTTCTTCCCTGGGGGCGCGCAGAAGCCTGTGTCTTCTAGGCATGACTTCCTTGGAACCAATCACCCCACTCACTCCTGCCTTTACCCACCCAGCTGACACAGGGAATCTGTGAACTGGAAGGGTCCTTAGCGATGACTGTACCCAGTCTGCTGGACGCCGAAGGAAAATGAGGCCCGGAGATGGGCAAGGTTACATCTGCCTGTGGCTGCTGGCAGAGCTAAGGTGGACGCGCAGGCCTCCTCCTTCCCGGCTCCGAGCTCGCCGTCTACACCAAGTTGCCTTCCCTGGGAACAGAGAGCCTCCTAGAGCACAGTTTAAGAGGCAGCTGCACAGAAAGCACGTACTTGGGTCTCTGAAGCAAAACATCCTCAAAAATGACCTCCTGTAGATCCTGGACCTGGGTCCGGAGCACTTCCACGTCAGCCCTTAATGTGGGCATTTTCTCCTTTGATTGGTCAATAAGCTGAGGGGAAAGCACCAGAGGGGAGAAATGAGATACCAAATGGCCCCAGTTAAAGGGAAGACAGGGCAAAATGCACAGGGTGCAGGAATCTCTGGGGAAATGACATGGCCTCATCATGGGGATACAGTGAACTGGGGTGGGTTCCCAAGTTTGTGCCAACACTCAGTGGTTCTAGGAAAGGTGAGGGGCCATGGAGAACAGAATCATGTTGCCTGCCATGAGGATAAATGGCAGCTGGCTGGGGAAGGTCACTCACACCGAGAACTCATGAAGGTGCAAGATGATGAAAATCCATATGCAGGGCGATGCCAGTGAAGCTCATTAGCATGACAGTGCATGGTGGTCAGTGGTGAGAACTGAAGAGGGGTGTATGGTATGCAATGGCTGAGCAGGGGATGCCTGAGGATGCTGCTAACAGGTCACAGCCAGTGACAGTGCCACTGAGGCAAGGCCTCAGCCAGCATGAACCCTCTTCACAGACCAATGAAAAGTGACAGGAATGGCACTGACAAAGAGGAAGGCAACACCAGAGTCGGGCATCAGGAGAAGCCTGTATCCCACAGCCTAGGAGCTGCCCACCCTACTGCTCCCTCTGAGGGACCATGGCTTTCCTGCCCACTCACTTCTCTGCACTTGACCATCCATTTCTGCTGGTACCAGCTGTCCCAGATCACCTGCTGAAGGGTCTTGTCATGGGGATACTGGGTTTTCTGTAGACAAAGGAGAGGTCTGTCCCTGGGTGCCTCTTCCTGGGCAGCGATGCATGGCAGATACAGGGTGGGGGCCAGTCCACTGGGCTACAGGCAGAGAACAAGGAAAGCAGGGCTGGGGCACACTGGAGACTCATAACAGCAGCTGGTGACTCACCACCAACAGGGACCTCCAAACTTTTCTCTTTTTCTCCTCCTTTGTGTTGGACAGAGTCTTTAGCACCATTCTGCGCATCTCACTGCGGTTATCCAGCTCCTCCTGGGGACCAGCAGAAGGGGTGGGCTACCAGTGCCACCTCCCATGTGGTCCAAGGCAGTAGCCAGCACCCCTACCTGCTGGCTGTCCTTCACCTGCTGCAGCTGGCACACAAGGCTGGCAATCTGAACAGACCTGAGGGAGTATTTGTGCTCCATGTACGTGCTCAGGAAGCTCACCAACTCCTGCATGTTCTTGATCCTGGTGTTCAGCTGCTCTGCCTGCTGCTCCAGGCCTGAGGAGGGTCAGGGAGAGGAGGTCAGAGCGACAGAAGCAGGGTCTTCTTCCAGAGGCCAGTTCCAGGAGACTGGGCCCTTCTTGGCAAATAGAGTGGGGTGTGGACTGAGGTGAGCTCACAAAAGGTTGGGACAGACATGATGAAAAGTTAGCCCCTAGACAGTGCCCCAGGCCTGTAGGAGGCAAGGCAATGCTGGGAGGAAAGAGATCTTTAGACCAGTGACACCAGGGAGAGAGGGTGACACTGGCTCTCAAGACATGATCCCTGGGAGGATTGAGACAAAGTCTACCTTGCCTTCCCACATGGAGGGGATCCCCCAAGTTTGAGCCTGTCTGGCACACCTCCTTCCCCAGAAAGCATCTTGTCTGCTCAGGAGGAAGCCATTGGCCCTACAGGATGGAAGCCAGCAGACCTGGTTCCTGACCCAGCCACTCACTGCCAGAGGGACCTTGACATGGAACAGAGCCAGGCTAGGACTGGATCCTGGCTCCGAGCTGTATAACCTTCCCCAGGCTCCTTTACCTCCCTTAGCTTCCATCTCCTCATCTGTAAAATGGGAGAAGAGTCCCTGCGTCACAGGTGGCTGTAATGACTGAGCATACATGGGCCTAGAAAATGCAGATACCCATGGCCTGGAATGTGCTAAGTGCTCAAAAATTAAGCTCTAAGCTCTGTATCTCAGCAATTCCATCAGCCAAGGAGGGAGAAGAGGGGCCTGATGGGTTCTGAAAGGCAGGTGCAGGTGAATGCCCTGCAGCTGCCCACCTCAAAGGGCCAGGGGTGAGGGCCACAAAAATCTGCCCCTGGGCTTCTTACTGTTCTTCTTCCATTCCTCCTTCTCTCTCCACTCCTGAAGCTCAGACTTCGACCTCTGTAGCTTGTTGTTTGAGTACTCCAAGATGTCCATCATGTTCTGCAGGAGTGGTGGGGTCAGCTCACCCCAGCTGCTGCTGGCCTTCAGGCTCTCAGCCAGCTGTGGCCACTCAGCACTTCCTCAGAGAACTCTCCAGTCCCAATCCCATTCCCAAGACAAGAAACCTGGCCAGACGCTAGAGAACAGTCACCTCCCATCCACCACCACCACCCCGCCCCGCCAACAAACTCTTCACCTAGGTTTACAAGGCCCTCCTTGATCTGATCCAAGTCAGCCCCTCCCTCTCTGATCCCTTCCTCACACCTTACTATCCAGCCTCACACAGCACCATGTGGATCCTTGAGTCAGCCATGCTGCTCTCACCCCAGGCCATGGGCACCTGTTCCCTGTGCCAGTTAACATCTGCTATAGATCTCAGCCCACTTTCTCCAAGAAGCCTTCCTGGTGCTCACATGTCTGGCTTAGGGGTTGCCTCTAGGCTCCCCAAGTCCCTCACTTCTGGCACAGCACACACACAAGGCTTTCTAACTGCCTGTGGTCCCCTTGAAGAATAGCTTGATGTGGATGAGGTGTCTCATGATTGCTGCTCACAAGGGTTCATGGGGGACATCAAAGATAAACAACAACAAAGAAAGATAAATGGACTAACAGAGAAAGGTTTGGAGAATGTTCTATACTTCCTTGGGCTCTAAGTCCTTGGCCTTGATCCCTGCTTAAACTGAACTGTGTTCCCTCTAAAATTAATATGTTGAAGTCCTAGCTCCTTAATGTGACTGCATGTGGAGACAGGGCCTGTAGGGAGGTGATCAAGGGTGGCCATAAGGGTGGACCTGCATCTGACAGGACTGGTGGCCTCATAAGAAGAAACACCAGTGCTCCATGTGCACAGAGGAAAGGGCATGGAAGTCATAGCAAGCCAGCCATAGGCAAGCCAGGAAGAGAGGCTGCACTAGAACCCAACTGCCACCCCTGGATCTTGGAGTCCCAGCCTCCAGAACTGTGAGAAATCAATTTCTGTTGTCGAAGCTGCCCAGTCTGTGACATCTTGTTAAGGCAGCCCAAGTGTCTCCTCACCAAGCTCATTGAGCACTGAGTGAATGATACAGCAATTAATACGGTCCCCAAGGAGCCTGAATTTTCTCTGCACTTCTCAGACTCGGTATCCTGTCCCCCTCCTCTCTGGGCAGACTTTGGACAAAAAGAAATCACTTCATTCACCTATTTCCCTGTCTCTTCCCCAGCCCAAACTCCTGGGTCACCTGGGAACTTCCTGACCTCTCACCACGTGTCACCACATCTCCCCCAGAGGAAGTGGAGGATGCTCCCTGGGCTCTCTGCAGTCATTCTTCCCCCACAGACCCAAAGTGCCACCCCCGGGCTGAGCGTGCTTAGAGTGCGAAGAGCACACAGATCCTGGTGCCAGACTCCCTGGATTCAAGTCCCAACTCTGATCCTTGCTAGCTGGGTGACTCTAAACAAGTCACCTTTCTGCCTTTCTATTTCTTCATATGTAGGCTGAGATAGTAACAGCACCCCTCCTAGGGTTACTGTAAAGTCTACATGAATATATGTAAAGCACGGTGCAAACGTCTGTGCAAACATCTGCTGCTGCTGCTGCTACTGCTGCCAGCAGTGATGGTTGTAACAGTGGCAGCTACTTTCTCTTGCAAAGGTACCATGTGTGGTGGCTACCACTTCCCTTTGAGGCGAGCACTAGTGTGCCCCACTTTACAGAGCCCCACTTGGACCTGACTCCAAAGCCCCGGTAGGTGGCCAAAGTGTGGATGAGGACACAAGGGGAATAGGGCCGGGAGCCGGGAGATAGCACAGGGTGGGGCTCACCAGTGAAATGTCTTCCTGCCGCAGGATGGCCCGCACTTGCAGTGCCGTGCTGGCCTCCATGTCCAGGATGGTTCTGACCACCCCTTCATTCTGCTTGGTGAGGAAGCACTCATGATCGCAAACATCCTGGAGCAAGCTCCGCTGGTTCTGGAGCATCATCTGCAGCCAAGGACAGAAAGAAGGAGCACTGCACTGGAACCAGAGACCATGGAGCCTGGGGACCTCCCCTCTCACCACCTTCATCCTCTGCAGCCTCCCAAGTAAATGTGCCCCAAGTGGAGCAGGGGCTCCCCATTGTCTGTGCATCAGCACCCTAAAAATCCTCTTGGAAATGCACATTTTCCCATAATTTCATATCTCTGAGGTAGGAAGACATGGTACACTTGGTGGCACATCACCATTTAACTGACAGATATTAGTAGGAAAATAAGGTTACACCTATGATCAATGAAATATTCTATTAGGATAATAGTAATGGTAATAATATAATGATAATAATAACAAATGCCCGAGATGAGTAAGAAAGCAACAGAGGACAGGTCAGGTCTGGAAGAGAAGGAAAGGAAGCCAAATGGGTGGTAATAGCCACCATTTCCTGTTCCATCATGCAAGGCCCCTGTGGAACAATGACATCTGAGGGGGCAAGTGACTTGTATAAGGTTACATCCAACAGGTATGGAAAATGGGTAACAATAATAATAGTAATAACCATTGTTGAGTGCCTACTACATTCGAGGGCAGGCACCATGCCTTGCTGTGCAGGCGACACATGGCATCAGTTCATCCTCCAGCCACCCTATGCTCATGAACTCTACTTTGCTGATAAGTGGAGGCTCAAAGAGCTTAAATGACTTGTCCAATGTCACTCAGCCAAGTGGTAGTGCTAGAATTGGAGGCAGGCTTCTCAGTCCCAATGTCCATCTTTCCATATACTAAGACAAGAATTCAGTGGACTTAAAACTTCAAGGAGCAGGTGAACCAGGCAGTGACTATGACTTGGATGTCAGGCCTAGACACACCGTTGTTCAAATCCCAGTTCTACCATTTACCATCCAAGGAAACCTGAACAAGTTGATGACCTTCCCAGAGCCCAGTCAAATAAATGCTGCTAATAATTTATACATGTTCCAGAGAGCTGCTATGAAAAACAAATGAGATAAAATTCACAATCAAGCCACTTAATGGCAGTGCCTGGCATGCTCAGTATGCACTCAGTGAACAGAAACTGATACCAGTCTCTCTGGCTCTAGTCCTCTGCCCTTGGCCTATTGATTCTCTTAATTCTTTCTGCTCTTCTTCATTTCTGTCCTTCGCCACAATCTACACCTGTCCAGCCCTCAGCTTCTGCATTCCTGACCTCCCAGTAACACACAGCTGGGCTGAGTACCTGGTGCTGAGCACTTGGCAGCCCTTACCTCACAGGACCCTCCACAAGCAGTGCTACTGTGAGTCCCAGGCACTTATGACAATGGGACCCCAGCATCAGATGCAGTAATGGACCCATGGTCTCACATAGCAGAGCCGTTGTCCTTGAGGTCTGGGCTCCTAGCCACTCCACTATCTGGGCTCCCCATCTCTGAGCCAACACCTCCACAACACCTTATGGAAAACACCTACCTCCAGTGCTGGGCCCATAGCTGCCTCATGAACGTTGGCAATAGGAATCCGCACTGTTAACACACATCGCACTCCCAGCTGAGTTTGAAAGAGCAGAATGCAATGACCTCTGCTCTAGAGATGGATTCCTCTGACCACCAGAACTAAGGTACAGCCCTGCTTGGACTCTTCTGCAGCTCACCTCAATCTGTAATTATGTCTCCCCATTTCCCAACATTTCTCTCCTAGGACTTGTCACCTAACATAGCAGATTTTTTTTTATTGCCTTCTTGTTTGTCTCCTACCAGCATGTCATAGCCAGGAAAGCAGGGGCTGTTTCTGTTCTGTCACACCTGTATGGCCAGCACACAGGACAGTGCCTGGAGCTCCATGAGCACGGACTGGATAAATTAATGGGAAACTATTCTTTGGGGCTTGGGAGGGTCGGTTTTGAGATACTTGGGATTGAACCCATAGCCTCCACACCAAGCTACATCCAGGTCTTTTCTACTTTTTAGATTTTGAGACAGGGTCTCACTAAGTTACTGAGTTTCCCAGGCTGGGTTCAAACTTGCAATATTCCTGCCTCAGCCTTCCAGCCAGAGTGCTGAGATTACAGTTTAGTGACTTGGAGAGACCCTGTCTCAAAATAAAAAATAAAAAGGGGCTGGGCTCAGTGTGAAGTCTCTGCATTCAAATCCCAGTACTGCAAAATAATAACTGTTATTTTTTAAAAGGCTGAGGATGTAGCTCAGTGGTAGAGCACACCTGGGTTCACTCTCCAATACTACAAGAAAAGAAAATACCTCCAGAGTCTGAGTATTCCCAGCTTACTCAGCATAAAATGTAAGGCCCTACAGGCCACACACCCATCTTACCCCACCATCTTTCCCATCATCACTTGCTCCAGCCATGCCATCCCCAAGGCCTTTGTACTTGCGATTCCTCTGCCTGGAACACTCCTCCCTGAGCTGTCCACAGGCTGCCTCCTCACATCCTCCAGGTCTCAAAGGTCAGCACCTTAACAACATTCCCTGACCAAACTATCTAGAGTGGTCACTGCCACCCCCTTCTCCATGCCTCTCTCGCTCCTAAGCTTATTCTTCTGCCTCCCCATGGCTCATATCATCACTGTACATATATATTTGTCTTGGATGCCATCTGTGTCCCCCAGTAGAATGTGAGCTCCCTAAGGTCAGAGAACACATCACTGGTGAATCCCCACACTTGGGACAGGGCCTGACACATAGCAGGTCCTGAATAAATATTTGTTGACCAAATGAACAAATGAGTGACTGATTACAAGAGATACTATTAAGAACTGGCTGACAGCACACGGTTTATAATCAAATTGTACAAGTTCACCCTCTATAGCAAACAAAAACATATAAACTCTTCCAGGTTGGGATAAAAGTAGCATCAGAAACTGAAATCCTCTTTTCAAGAGTGCAGAGACCCTAAAAAACAATTTTGCAAAATTGAAGGCTAAGGTAGGAAAAATGACTTCAAAGCAATACTTTTTCCCTTTTTCTTTATAGTCATTGTTCACTGAACTATTAAAAACTTTCTTGCTTGGCATGGTGGTGCATGCCTGTAATCGCACCACTGGGAAAGCTGAAGCAGGAGGATCACCATGAGTTCAAGGCCACCCTGGACTATATAGTTAGTTAAATCCCAGCCCAAACTAAATACCGAGGTCCTGCCTCAAAAAACCAGAAAAATGGGGTAGGGGATTTAGCTCAGTGGTTCCATCACCTGCCTCACAAGCGCAAGGTCCCAAGTTCGATCCCCAGTACCAAAAAAACAAACTTTCTTGAAGAAGAGTTCTGTAGGGCCAGGGATTTAGCTCAGTGGTTTCGCCACTTGCTGAGCAAGCCCAAGGATCTGAGTTCGATCGCCGGTACCAAAAAAAAAAAAGAAGAAGAGTTCTGTAGTACTTTGTAGTATTTATAACACTTAGTATCTACAGAATCCATAAAACAACACATGACTAAAAAAAAAATTAGGCACAAAGGCCTCACCTGACGGTAAATGTAATAGGGAGCTTCCAAGCTCTGTATTAATGTGTGCTGTGTTCCGCAAAAGACCAACAAACTGGATATGTTAAGATACGCCACTAGATTGCATTCCTAACACAGCAAAACAAAAAGTGATTCTGACTGTTTTCCTGAATCAAACACAACAACAACAGCTTGTGTAACTGGCTCTGACCACTGGCACTGTCATTTTCTGGCTGTGTGACCTAATACAAGTCATTTATCTCCTTGCACCTCAGTTTCCCCTCTGTAAAACAGGAAGTGTACAGTGTGTCCATGGGGTTGCTGTGAGGAGGAAATGAGTCATGTCTGGCACCTGCCAGGCGCTCAGAGCATGCTTGTGACACCCATGGCCCTGTCTCCTGCCCCGGGAACCCCTGTGGAAAGGCCTGTGGGAAGATGCTCCTCATACCCTCATTAGCCGGGGTTTGGCTGGTATCTTTCCCAGATGCGGCTTCTGCCTTATGCGCCCTTGTGGATTCTTCAGCTGGCTTGTCTCCAACGGCATGAGCTTGGAGGGCACTGGTGGGGACAGACAGGAGAGGACAAGGAGAGGGCGAAGGTACAGGCAGGCCTGAAGCCAGTTCCCAGGGAATGCAAGGAGAGAGGTCCCAGGCGCCACCCCATCGACTCAGTCAGGCAGAGGCCGCAACGCTGGACAGAGGACAAAGCTCCCACCCACCAAAAGCTCCAGGCCCATGCTCAGCCCAGGTGAAAGCAATGACGGTGGAGATGGACAGGGAAGACAGGAGTAGAGGGGCAAAGGACTGGGCCAGACACCCCCACTTTAATCATAAGCATTTTGAACCTTGATTCAAGAAGTTGCCTAAGCTGGTCTTGAACTTGGAGCAATCCTCCTGCCTCAAACTCCCAAGTCGTGGGGTTACAGGGTGTGCCACCACACCCAGCTGCAAAGTACTCTATGAAGGGTGAATCTAATGGAAATATTACACCCCCTACAACCAACTATCCAGTCAGAAGAGCTGGGAACTCACATTTTTTGTGCCCTGCCAGTTGCTGTCACAGAAGGGGACAGTAACTAAATGAATGAATGATTACAAACACTTCAGCATCCTTCCTTTAACAACTGTATCTAAAAAGTGTCCGCAGGACTAAGTCCAAATCCCTGCTCTCCAGAGCCGATGGAAAGGTTGGGCAAGGTAGGGGTAAAGAACAAGACTAATGAAGAAGACATAGCTTCCTACTAGCTCTGTGACCTGCATCGGCCACATGACCTCTGTGTCCCTCAGTTCTTCCATCTGTAAAATGGAAATAATCATCATGACCACCTCAGAGGGTTGTCATGAAGATTAAACAACAAGTTACTACACCTTCAAGTGTTTGGAATAGCACCTGCCCCATCTCCAGCAATGGATACAGTTTTTAATGACCTGAAAATTGGGACCACAGCCCCAGAGGGAGGCATAGCACCAGGGTAAAACTTGAATCTGCTGCCTCTTAAATACTATATGAGCTGTGGCTCTGCTGGACGGGGGTAATGGCACTAGAGGACAGGTGCTTAGAGTCCCTGCTTCCTCTGGCCTGGGCCACACCAGCATGGGACAAATCTACCCAGTGGCGGAAGCTCCATTCTCAACTGCCACCAAACTCCCAGCTCCAGATGCAACCCAGTGCATTTGAGGAAGATATTAATTATTTCTTTAATGGATCAAGAGCCTTAATCCTGGGAAATTTTAGTATTAAGTTCTGAGATGATGAAGTAAATTAATGAATATCTGTATATATCTGGTATTTAATAGTATTGTTTAAGAGACAATAGGTTAATCTTGTGTTTTAATGTTAAAGGGGTAAATGAGATTTTGATTTAGATTTAAGTTGAAAGGCTTAAGAAACTCCTATTTAATGTTATAAGTTGCACGAACTCTTAAGAGAACATAAGATTACCTATACTTGAAGTCTATTTATTAGATATACAAGACTTATCTAAGTACCCAGTGGGTTTCTGTTAATCACACAAATAATTCTTTGAAAATGAAAATGAATACATTAAATTTTAAAATGTGGTTTAAAAGGTTTAGGGGAATTTAACAAAATTCCAAAATCCCCCTTACAAGTAATTACAAAAATTTTAAGACTCATAAACTGAAACTATGCTTAAGAAAGACTTGGAGCTTTAGTGATATTTATTTTTATTTGTGGTAGCAACCCTGATTTGTCTTTTTTCTAATGAAATTTTTTATTTGGGGATGAGTTAGATTCTCGTGCAATTTGAAGAAATAACAGAGATCCTATTTTCCTTTTACCCAATTTCTCCCAGTGGCAACATCATGCACGACTACAGCTCACTGTCGCCAACTGGATACTGACACAGAGATGTACAAGATACAGAACCTGTCCACAAGCACAAGGGCTCATCTGTTGCCCTTTACAACCACATCCACCCCCTCCCATTACTAGCATCCCCTCAACTCTGTCCCTAAACCCTAGCATTCGTTAATCTGCTCTCCACTTCTATGACTCCATGTATAAATGGAATTATACAGTATGCAACTTTTGAGATTGGCTTTTTTCATTCAGCATAATTCTCAGAAGATTCACCCAAGTTGTTGAATGTATCAACAGTTCTTTCCTGTTTATTGCTGAATGGTAATCCATGGTATAGGGATGACACTGTTTGTCTAACCATACATCTGTTGAAGGACATCTAGGTTGTTTCTAGTTCTGGAAGGTAATCAATAAGGCTGCAATGAACATGAATACTCTCATATTAGTTTTTGTGTGAACATAAGCTTTCATTTCTCTGCAATAAATGTCTAAGAGTGCAACTGTTGAAACCAATCATGGTGGCACATGCCTGTAATCCCAGCACATGAGCGGCTGAAGCAAGAGGATTACTAGGAGTTTGAGGTCAGCGTGGACTATATACTGAGTTCAAGGCCAGTCTGAACTACATAGTGAGGCCCTGTCTCAAAAAGAAATGAAAAGAATGCACCTGCTGGTGACCATGTTCACCAAGCCCTGTTTTTTCCCCTCCTTGAGACACATATGGACTCCATTTCCCACTATCCCTTGTGGTAAGACATGGTCCTATGACTTAAGTTATAGCCTTTGGAATGCATGCAGAAATGATGTTATTTCAAGTGAGGGCCCCCCAAAAAACTGCCCACAAAATCATCTATGTTCTTACTCTCTTTCCTCTCTGCCATTTGGACACTGAAATGTCCAGCAGAGGATTTCGAGACTTTACCAAACATCAGAACCAAGGTTGAAGGAGCCTGGACCTCTGAATGACCATTTGGAACAGATTACAGTGGTACCTTGGTTGCCAAGGAATGGCCCCAAGCTCAAACTTTCCAGTGCTCAAACAGCAAAGTTTGAAAACAATCTGCTTGGTGTTTGTAACTTTGCTCAACAGTCCAGCTGAAAATCTGACTTGAGAAAACATATGAGATAAAGACCTTCTATTCCAATTTTCTGTATGGTTTTTATCAGGAATGGGTGTTGGATTTTGTCGAATGCTTTTCTGCATCTATCAAGATGATCATATGGTTTTTGTCCTTGGCTCTGTTAATGTAGTGTATTAATTTATTGATTTACGTATATTGAACCATCCTTGCATCCCTGGGATAAATCTGACTTGGTCAGGGTGTATGATCTTCAGGATGACCCTCTGTATTCCGTTTGCCAGTATCTTATTGAGGATTTTTGCATCTATGTTCATTAGGGAGATTGGCCTGTAGTTCTAATAGTTTCTCTAGTGTAAGAAACTGAAAGTGGGGCCAGCGATTTAGCTCAGTGGTTCCGCTGCCTGCCTTGCAAGCGCAAGGTCCCAAGTTTGATACCCAGTACCAAAAAAAAACAAAGAAACTGAAAGTGTAAGTAAGGAATAAAATGATTAAAACAAATAATTGATAATTTTAAATAGGAAGAAAAGATCCAAAGGGGTAGGGGAAGTAGGAGGGGAAGGGGAAAGGAAAAAAGGGAAAGGAAAAATTATGAGAAAAGGAAAAAATGGAAACAAAGTCTTTGTAAATAGGGAAGGGAGCACAGGGAATGAGGAAAAAATAAGAACCAAGATACATCATGTACAGGTACAAGCACCCAATGATAAATGTAGACATACTGTATACCTAAAATGGACCAATAAAAGAATTTAAGCAAAAATATATATATATATAAAAATATATATATATATATGACTGAGAGAAGCATGTGTCACATCTCGCCACAGACACAAAGGGGTGATGCTTCAGTCTAAGCACCGCTCTCACCCAGATAACATATAGTGCTTGTGTTAGTGGGTTTAAACATTCATCATTGTGCCTTTTTTTTTGCAATTTATTTTTGTAAAATATCATAACCATGGGGCTCCAAAGAAAGTTAGTGATACAGCAGTAAAAGCTAAGAGGAAAACTGCAAGAACCACAATAAAGAAAAAAATCATTGCAAATTTGTTAAAGTCTGGGAAAAATTAATTTACAAGTGTAATTTTTGGGCCTCAAAACCAATTCAGTTTTTCATTATTTCTTATGAGAAAAGCATGCTTAGTTCTCAAACTTTTTGCTGTTCAAACATGAATTTGGGACAAAGTGAGTTCAACAACCAAGGTATCACTGTATTCCCTCTTCTCAGATCTACAAATGCTTTCAATTTCTTATTTTGAGACAGGGTCTCACTAAGCTATCCAGGCTGGACTTGAACTTACAAATCTCATGCCTCAGCCTACCAGTGTGCTGGGATTACACCCATAAGCCACCACGCCTGGTTACAAGTGCATTTTGACATTAATGGGAAATAAACTTCTACATTATTGATTGAAATTGGGAGAACATTTGCTACATCAGTTTGCCTACCTTAACATGAACAGTGTTACCCAGGGCCAGGAGTATCCTATTTTGTCCCCTGCCCCCATACCAGTGCCCAAGTACTTCTGCCCACCTGCACTGCCTCTACTCGAAGTCTTCATTTTGCTTTTGTTATGGCTGCTGGTTTGTTGAAGTGGAGGCAGAGTAGATGGTTTGCTTTCATGCTTGGACCACTGCTGTGGAACATAATCCAACCAAAAATAACACAATCAGTCACACAGCATGGTCTGTTCAAATCCTTGCTCCACCCTTTACAGATATCTGTGAGTTTAAGCAAGTAACTTTAGCTTTTGGAGCCCAAATTTTCTCATCTGTAAGTGGATATAATAACATAACTTAAATCTATGGGTTAATGCAAGAATTCTGAGAGGTCTGGATCTGTAACTCAGTTACAGGGCTAGCATACTCCAGAACCTGGGTTCAGTCTCCAGTACAATTTTGTTTTGTTTTGCTTAATCCAAGAGATATCTGTGAAGCACTTGATAAATTTTGATAAGTATCCATAAATGTTAGCAGTCACTCCTGCACCCTGCCTTACCAGGCATTGAACCCAGGGCCTCCCACTGAGCTACACTCCAAACCCCGCCCCCCACTCTTTTTATTTTGAGACAGCATCACGATAAATTGTCCAGGCTGACCTTGTACTTCCCATCCTCCTGCCTCAGCCTCCAGAGTAGGTGAGACTGTAAATAGGCACCATCGCACCCAGTGAGCTGTCACTTTTTTTTTTCTTAATGGCCCAGGCAGAATTTACTAAGCATATCTGGCTGTGAGGTGCTAAGAACTGTGAAACAGAAGACATGGGAAAGACCCAAACCCCACCCTCAGGAACCCTGAGTAGCAATGAGAAAGCAATAAACGAGCAGCACAATAGACCTTTATACACTGATAAGGCAGGAAGGGGGAAAAAATAAGGCTCGGAGGCTTGCTCTGGGTCCCACAGCAAGTGTGTGCCACAGCTCGGACTGGAGTTCAGGTCTCCAGACTACCATGAGAAACAGTCACTTTCGTGGGAGTTGAAGGCAGGAGGACTTCAGGGTCAACGAACCCCCATCCCCGCCCTAGCTCTCCCGGACTCACCAGAAACTGGGAATTGTGGGCCGTGGAGTGAGTCCCCAAGTGGCTGGGTCTGAAACGAGTTGGAGTGAGAAAGAATTTTGGTCATCCTCAGCCCAAAGAGTTGCAAGCAGCAAACTTGGAACGCGTGGAGTCTCGAACCCAAAACCGAAGTTTCGGAGGCAAGCCCGAGCGGAAGCGGAGCAAGAGAGTGATCGCGAAAGGCGGGCATGGGCGACGCGGGCTGGGAAGAGCGCGCGACCACCCACCACCCCAAGGTTGGGAGAAGGGGCACGCATGCGCATCTGCTACCCACCGATGCTCCTACTTACTTCCGAAAGACATGAGCCATTAGGGAAACTATAATAGGCATGAATCTATGGTCCCTTGATCTTCTGGGATGCCTGTTCAGCTTCTCCAACTTCCTTGTCCCAGCGTAGTTCGGTAACTCAGGCCCCTCAAACTTCTCAACAAAACTGGCCCTTTCGCTGGTGTCTCGGTCTCCAAGGAAACGAACGACGACTACGGAGCGTCTGGGGGGACTAATCTCACAAGGTAAAGTGTAGCGCTCCCCACTTTCTTCTCAACATGGTTTCAAATAGCCGTTTGCTGTTGCCCATATCCCCCCAAAATTACATTTTTTCATTCTTTTCAAACTTTCATCACTTTCTTCCTTCCTTGTCTGCACTCCTGGCTAATGACTTTGCTCTCTATTTCAGTAAAAGAAAGTCATGGAGATCAATTAACACAAATTCCCAACACCTCATTTATCGCAGTACTTGCCTTCCTTCTCTGCATAAATAGCCTTTTTTTCTCAAAGATACTGGCCCAGCAACTCTTCCCATTTTCTCTTACCTCATTTACCCTCTCTCCTCATCCCTATCATAAGTATACTAACATGTTTTTCATTTCCTCTATTTTTTAAAAAAAGTGAGCACTCGGGCCGGGGATTTAGCTCAGTGATTCCGCCGCCTGCCTCGCAAGCACAACGATTCGAGTTCGATCCCTGATACCAAAAAAAGACAAAAGTGAGCACTTCTTCCCCATTTGCCCTCCCATTGCTGCTTCACTTGATAGCAAACTCCCAGAGAGGTTTGCCTGCTGTTTCCCTTTTCTCTTCCCCAACTTCTACCTATCCACTGAAGCTGCCCTTGTCAACGTCATGCAGCATTTGAAATGGCCAATTATTCCCTCCCTTGGAACATTTTCTTAATTTTGTGTCCAGGAAGCCACTCTCTTTCAAGTCTCCTCTGCTGGTGCCTCATTTCTCCCTTGATTATTCTAGTGCTCCAGGACTCAGTTCTATCCCTCTGCCTTTTTTTCTCTGTCTACTTTCCCCCCATTCATGCTTCTTTCCAGTCTCATGCATGGCTTTGGATGCCATGTGTGCCCAGATGCCTTCCAGACTTGCATCTCCAGCCTCGACCTCTCCCTTGAATTCTAGCCACACATCCACCTGCCTAATCAACAGCCCCACTCGGATGCCCAACAGGCAACTCTAACCTGAACTCTTTCCCCAGAAACATATTTCCCCATGGCAACTCTCTTTTTAGAGTCACCCTCAACTCATCCTTCATCGCACACCAAATCTATCAGCAGACCCTATCTGGTATTGGACCACTTATCACCACTACCACACACGTGCATGTACACACACTTTCACACACACACACACACACACACCTCTTTGTGCTTGAACCTAAATAGTACCAGCTCCCACCCTTGCCCTATTCCAATTCTCTTCCTACACACTAGATGTGCTAGATAGAGTATATAGAGCATAGGTTTTAAAAGGGCAGTCCCATTTTAAATATACTTGGGAAGATGCAAATAATTTGAACTCACCTAAAATTTAATAGTGGACTGGTACTATAGAACACTAGAGCAAAGTTCCCAATCTTTTTCACCTCTTAAAAACTCTAGAATTATTTTTTGTTTATTTAGGTTTTATTTGCTTTTTTCTTGTATAAAAACCCTATCTTGTAGCTATTTCTGGAGCCTGAGTCCTCTGGAGGCAGAATTTGGTGGGAGTTTTTAATAGATAGTCAATGAATTCCTGGTAGGGAAAATTACTGAACACAACCTCTTTCCAGACGTCAAGGGTCAGGTAGCTTGTAGGTCTTGGAGATGGCCTCAAAGGTGACCTTGGTGAAGCTGCCTAGAGTGGCTCTGCAACCCCTGGAAGAAGTATAGCAGTCATCAGTGGCAGCGAGCAGCAGCAGCTTCTTGGCCACAGGGACTGATGTGATGCCAGTGCCTGGGAGGGCAGGAATAAAGCACACCAACACAGAGCTACACAGGCCTGTCACCTTGCAAGGTCAGTGTGGGGCTTGCTGATCTTGTTCTCTCAGAGGCTCTCTGAATGAGAACAAAAGGTAGCCACTGCCATTCAAGTTCTCCACTGTACCCTGTGGAGAGGAGAACATTTTCAATGGCGCTACACATTGCAGTAAACAGAAGACGCTGCCATGGCAAAAGCAATGAATCTGAGGCAGGAGGATCACAAGTTTGAGCCCAGCCTATGATATTTAGCAACTTAGGGAGACTCTGTCTCAAAATAAAATAATTTTTAAAGGGCCGAGGATGTAGCTCAGGGCAAAGCCCCTGGGTTAAAAAGAAAATAGGAAGTAGCAATATGTGGCCTACCTGGGTGGTTGCCTACCTAACAGCCATTGCTCGATTTCATCCCAGCTAATAGACCCTGACATTGTCTGTATATGAGGCCCCAGCTGAGGTAATGATTGTTCTGAGCTGGGATTGGTGGGCCTTTCCTAGGGGTACAGTCATAGGCACATGATGGAATCTGGCCAAGGATACAGGGTGAGAAGTCTATTGGGAGACTTTGGGATAGATTTTAAACGCTTTTTAAAAAGACACTGCAGGAAACCATCTTTTGTCCACTAGTAGACATTGCCTTGTCTGTGTGGGATTCCTGTAATTGTGGGAATGTGAATGGAGTTGGCCAAAGATAATGTACTGGGCATATGGAAGAAACCTCTCCTTGACAGCATCATTGAGCTATACTATTGACCAACCATGTCACCTATCTAGAACTTACTCAAGATTAAATAACATATCACCTTACTGGGTAGCTATTTTGAGTTTTCTATGACTTTCAGGCCAACACATCCCACTAAAGTCCACAGATGGAGGAAAAACAAGATAAAAAGAATCTAGGTCTGAAACCCTTGCATAACAGCTATCTCCCTCCCCTGACTGCCTGCCAAATGCTGAGCTGTTCCATCAATGAGAAAAAACCTTCTAGCTTGCTTGGAACCATGTATTTGAGGGTCCCTGTGTTACAATACCTTAGCCTATATTTCAACTAATTTTAAAAAGGGAGGGACTGGGGATGTAGCTTAGTGGTAGATCACTAGTATGTACAAGGCCCTAGGTTCAATCTCAGCATGCCCAAAACGGGAGCATGGCCATGTCACACAGCCAGCATGGGCACCCATGAGAATTATCTGCTCTGCACAGCTCAGTTCTCAGTCAGTACCGTTATAGTCCCTACTGTCAAATTTTATAAAATAGACATTTGTAAAAGTGCTCTCATTGTAATCAAGACCAACTACCAGGGGGGCTATTGATGAGCACCCTGTAACCATCAAACCTATCATGGGAACTGCAATTGGAGAAGACAGAGTCCATCTGCACTCCCTCCCACCTGTCCCAGGGGCATTTCTGATTTCATGAGGGCCTGATGGAACTTTCTGCTCCAGGTATAGGTGAGCAAGATGAGGTGGCCCTTCTGTCCTGCAAGTTTTGCTGATGAGTGTGACAGAGGACCAGTTTTTCTGGCTCCAGCCTGCATCCCTGAGACCCTGAAGCTGCAGTACCAGCTCTCAACTGCATAATTCCAGACTTACAAGAAAAAGAAAGAAGCCTCATTCTTATGCAAGTTATCATTACTCTAGACATTTCTGCTGTTCAGATATTCCCACCAACTATCATAGTGAGTTTCCTCATTAAAACTCAGCTGCCATGTGCTGCATGCTTACAGAGCACTAAACAACTGTGTTGTCTTCACACCAATCCATTATAAAAACAAAGCAAAACAGTGCCCAGGTCTCAAAGATGCTCCTGAGAGAGGGCCCTTCACCTATGCAAGCCTGTCACCTGCCTTAACAGTATAATGAAGATAACGAAGTGAAGTATAGTATAGTGAAGATAATGGTAACTTGTCCAGACTGATCAGGCCCAGCCTGCACACAGTTGCCTGTCATGTTTTTGTTATGGTCTGGTTTTTGAGACAGGTTGGCCCAGGCTGGCCTTGAACTCCTAGTCTCAAGCAATCCTCCCACCACCACCTTCTGAGCAGCTGAGACTATAGATGAGCACCATCCCACCCAGCTTGCCCTATTATTTTTTCCTAATACAATGCCTGAGTCAGACATAGTCTAAGCAGCTTATATAGGTGAAAGTGGTTAATTTGGGATGTACAAGTATTTTGGAAGAACTGCTCTCATGATTTGCCAAGAAACTGGTATAAGATTTGGGAGAAAGATAAAAATTGAAGGTGGAAGCCAGGTATGGTAGTATATAACCCAGCTACTTGAGAGGCTGAAGGCAGGAAGATTTTGAGTTTAAGGCCAATGTAGGCAACATAAGAAAACCTTATCTCAAAAAAAAAAAAAAAAAAAAAAAAA